AACAGACCTCCACACACACACATGCACACCTTGGAAAGCATTGTCTGTGTTTTGAGCACTTTCTGTGCTTCCTGCTGTTCATTGAAAACTGCTGTCTGTGAGAATAACTGCTTTCCTGTGTAAATTAACTAACTGGCATACATTAGCTTTCTGATTGCTTTCTAGTTTAACATACACAAACCTTGCCCCAACTTTGTGTCAAGTGAACATCCACTGCAAGGATTTAATTCTTGTAGCAGCCCTGTGGATTCCACCTATTAGTAGCAAAATGAGATACTGGGTTCTGTGGCTGTGACTGCCTCTATCAAGTGAAAAGAAATGAGAAAGAGGATAAAATAACCTGCTGCGTAGCTGCTCCTAGAAAAGCAGCTTTCTGAGAAAGGCCATAGGACTGAAAACAAGAGAGTATCAAGTCTGAGGAGGAGGAAGAATGGAAGGGTGTTGGAGCAGAAAGGAAAGATTTTTGGACCCGGGAAAGGTTATGCTTAAGTGCTTGATACTTGGCTGACTTGTGACTCTCTGCAGCTATTCACTAGTACAAAAGGGCTTTAAAAACAGCATTATCAGTTTTCCAGCATAACCTAAAGCAGCAACAAATTGTCCCTATGGGTGTTGGCAGAGAACTAGACAAATCATTAGGATATAACTATCATCTTATACGTCCTCTAATTTATTACTAAAAGGGTATATATCAGCAAAGGAGAAGAATGACCACAAGCTCCTGCACCTAATAATAAACTCCTCTTCCTTTTGCACCAAACGCATGAAATAACTGTTTTACTTCAAAAGGCAAGCCACAGCCTGCTTGCAATACGCCCTGCAAATTTCTCTATAAAAATACCGGATAGACTATTTCTAGCTACCTAAGACACAGCTTCTGTGCTTCTTTTAAAGCATATTAAATAGGTATGACTGAGGTAACTAGGCATTATTATTCATAAGAAGCAGAGAAACCAGATAGCCTCTTCCACTATGCTAAATAAATCTGCAATCAAATATATATAAGATTAGTCTAAGAATCTCGAATCTCTTGCTAACCCCGTTGACCAGTTAGTGGCTGAAATTGTTTTTTTCTTTGTGCTGCATGGATGGCTTGTTTTTGCAAATTAAAGGGATTACATGGTAAGACCCCCAATGTTGAATTATAACTGGTTTTCCAGTCCCTGTGCCTCACGTGTATCAGAGTGTGATTGCAAGAACCGCTTGTAATCCCAGAAAAGGCAGTAAGGTGAAACTTAACACAAGTCCGGCCTTTCTTGCTGCTGGTTATGACTTGTGTTTATATGTAGCTTTGTTCCCAGCTCTACCTCATTAGCAATAAAGTATTTAACGCTAAAAACTATGGTATTTCTGAGTAGTTAGTACCCTAGGCTGGAAGCAGCTAAAATTTAAAACCTGTTCAGGAACAGAAGCATAGTTATGTCACAACTCCTAGACAGAAAGAAGTGCTAGAGATTATATATAATTCAGTATTGCTGTTATAGTTACTGGTAAACATTATTTTCTCATGTAGTCACATTGTAAACGGGAGAAATCTAAGGAAATGAAATGAAATCAAGAACTTAAGAGTTTTACTGTGGATCTAGCTACTGCTTAGAAGAACTTCTCTACATCTACACACGAGCACACTCAGAGAAACACTTCCATAAAGACTCATTCAAGCTCAAAACATCCAGCAAGTCTTGTTCCTCTTTTCACAACAATTGCATTCTCCTCTCCATCATTTTCTCTGACTAATAGAAACATGAGAATTTAAGAGTTTTGTGCTCTATCTATCTTCTCTGTTTTTCCCAGTAGAGAATACGCATGCCTAGCAATTTCTTTACCTAAAATCTACTTTTGGTGCTCCTCTTAAGCTGTATCTCTGATGTGATATGCATTTCCCCTTCCACCCTTATTCTCACCCCTGGTCCAGGCAATCTATTGCACCGAGGAAATCAGAAACAGAAGCACGGTCTGAAAGTTCATTTGAACAGACTGGAATGACTCAGTTTCCTCTTGCACTCTCATAGGAAGCTGACGTAAAATTTAAGACATAGATTATAGAGATGAATGATATTTTTTCAAACAGAAGCATATGAAAATGAAAGGTTAACAGATGCTGAACAGTTTCAATGTGAAAACTTCAAGGAATATCTCTAGGACAAAGTGACAGAGAGGTCAGAAATATCAAGCTCAGTTTCTGGTACCCAGGAGTTCTGACATCAGCCCAACCCACGTCATGCGGGATTGAACTGATGCTGGATCCACACGTGGTGAGTGCCATTATTTGTGTAGTTGCTTTCCTTCAATGCTCTGGCTGCCAGAGCTTTGGCAATTATGTGTTTTTCTTAACATCAGCCCATGAGTATATACAATTGCCAAGACAGGCTCTCCTGTTCTAAATCTTGGCCTAAATGAACTCATAACCTCTCCCTCCAAACTTTCAGAGTTTAGCCTAAGGATATCTCACAGATTGCTGTCTCCATGTTCTTGCTTATATTGAAAAACCTTTCTGTTACTCTGATTTTCAGCATCCTTGTTTTTTCAAGTCTTCTTACTTATTTATTCCAAATATGTCTGCTTTCATATCTCGTTATTCCTAATGACTGTATTTAACAGTAGCAGAGAAGCCTCTCAAAGGGAGGCTTCACCCAGCAGCAGTGCTAGTTTGTCTCCAGCAGGAAACTGTTATTTTGCTGCTGTTCACAAAGTCTTGCACATTGTCCATTCTTATTTGCTCTTTGAGCACTGACACCTCCTACAGTGATCTAGAGCGCAGACTTAAACTGGGCTTTCTTTCTACTGCTTTTCTAATCAAGACACTGCTATTTTTACTGTCCCTAGAAGAGCCCTGGCTACTGAGTCACCATTGCTTTCAGCGAGCAATATTACTTCAACTCTTAGGTTTGGCTCTGCCTAACACCTACAGTTCACACATTATTCTTCAAGTGTCTGTCACTGGTGTCTGCCCATTTTGTTTAACAGTAGGAACTCTGAATCTCTTTTAGTGCTAGGATGAAATCTCTTAACTCTGCTGAACATGCACTAGAGCTGCATTTATGATGAAAAATCTTCTGCTCAGCTACGCATTTCTTCACTTATTGCTTACTGGCAAAATCCAGTAACTTAAAGACGTTAGGAAATCACTCCCCACCTAAACCCTAAGACTGTGGGCATCTATGGTCCTGCCGGGAAGGTTTATCCTACAAGTCCGGGGACATTGCTGATCTCTGACAGCTCAGCAGTTCTTTCTGCGTGAACAGCAAGGTAGTGTTTGATCTGAGCTTATCTCTTTGAGTGTGATCACCATCTCTGTGTGAAGCAAAAAAAAAAAAAAAAGGCTTGCCTCTTCCTGTAAGAAGTGGGCTGAAAAAACCCACAACTGATCTCAGAAACACCAGCATCTCTTTCTCACACTGACCGTATTACGGATACATGAAATGGCAAAGAGGGGGAAAAACACAGAAATAAGAGATTATAAGGTAACATTTGTTTTATATATACCATTTCAATGAATAATAAAAATTAAAATCCAAACTATTTATGAGAAATATAATCAATGAATTTCCAAAAATTGCTAAAAAAAAAAAAATTTGCTAAAACTACTGCTACCTAGTGCTGTAACTATGCCGCTTATAACAGAAAAACCTACTTAAGATCACTTTGAAATCTAATACCACATAGTAGAAAGTGAAATTGTTTTAAGAGCCAAAGGACATATTACTAAAAATTGTAAAACATGTCTCACAGCAAAGTTGCTAGGGAAGCAAATTTTTCTAGCTTGCCCCAGGAATTTTAGAAAGGTATATAAATTTAACCACTTAAATTTTTCTGTACATATGAAACATGCCTTTTAAAGGGAACAAATAGAAAGGTTTAGATCAGTCTTGGGTATAGACTCCAGTGCGATGCTTCATAAATAAGACATTTCTCTGAAAATGTTTTGCACTTTGTGCCAACAAATAGAAAAACACACTTAAAGGTCCTTAACTGATGCTGATCCTGGAAGAGTGTTTTGAGAGTATTTTATGGATGCATAGGGCAGAGTTAAGAATGCCAATTAAAAATAGATTATTGATTTCAAGCTTCAGAAGAATCAGAGACAGAAGACTCTGCCTTTATAAGAGACCATTTCTCAGCTATTATTTTGTTCTGTTGAAAATATTTGCAAGCTGAGACAGATTTCATTAGCAAAATATGTATATACCCTGCATGCTATCATCCTATTTTTTGTGCAAACAGAAACCTGTGTGCAAACCCAAACAACTGAGCAATCCACAGTTTACTTTTTCTCTAAATAAGAATGCTGCTATACATTGCTATGTTCAACAGGTGTCAATAGGTTTATATCTTTCAGAAAACTGTTACTAAATTCATTTTCAACTCTTCTTCACTTTTCACGATAGAGTAGCTTAGGTGAAATTCTGTAGCAAAAAGCCTGGGAGCTAAAAGCAAGAAGAAATTGATTTTTCTTCTGCAGATCCTATTTTCAATGTGCTCTACGAATCTCAAAACCAAAATCTGCAGCTGCCTCACACCTGTCCTGCAGTCATCTAGCAGGATGATAAAAAGCTGGCTCAGGTCTCTTCATCCACAGCTTATATATGAAACCTCTTTACATTCCAGTATTTTTCCAACTTTCAATTTTAGCTTTGTAAGATGGCTGCAAATTAAACTTGTATAATTTATGAACAGACTGTGTCTTGACTATTCCAAAAGGACAAGTCTAGATGAAAATAATTAGAAAAGAACCCTGGAATGTAGCTTAGTATATGAAAAATCATTCATAATTATACGCGATATGGCTTTAACGCCAAAAGGCACAGTTTACGGCTATCCTATATAGTATACCAACTTTTATAAGATCATATGCTACATTGGATAACACTATTTCAAAAACAATGGAATAGCCTGGGCTATTCCATAATTAACAATTAAGGGGAGCAAAGACAGTATGACACTATTTTTAAAAATCCCATTCTTCATTTTCAGTAAGCTCCCAAGGAACGCTTAGGAAGATGCCTAACATCAGCTTAACTCAGCAGACACATTCCTCAAATGAAACACTGACCGCAGTCTCCGAGAGTCTCCGCTCCATCCTCATAGCACTGTACAGCATTGACTTGGCTGGTGGCACTCTTGGGGTCATCGTGATGTCCCATCACTTGTTTCGAAGGAGATCGCAATCTGTGATGACCATTATCATGATCAACCTCCTGGTACTGCACACCCTCCTGCTCCTCAGCATCCCCTTCCGCCTCAGCTACTACATTTTACGTGAGTGGAAATTCAGCACGTTCACCTGCAGGCTAGTCAGTGCCATGACCTATCTCCACATGTACACCACCTTCACTTTTTACATTTCTATCATCATAATACGTCGCTTCCAACTAGAGTTTAAGAAGTGCTACACTACAGTGGGGGTGACTGCTGTCTGGATGTTTGGGGCACTGGTGATCTCACCTGTTTTTCTCTCTTATTACGGAACCTTTAAAACATATGATTCCTCTGAATGCTTTCAGTTCCACCAGGAGATACAGGAGAAACCTATAGTGATAGCAAACTACTGCTTAGTTGGAATTTTGGTGGTGATTTGCACTGTGGTCACCACAATCCAGTTAGCTGTCATCTATAGACTGGCTGTGAAATATTGGCCTGACATCTACTCCCATGTTGAATTCAGGGCTCAGGTAAAGAGTTTCTTCTTCATCTTAGTAACATTAGTGTGCTTTGTGCCTCATCATGTTTTCAGAATATATTACATCCAAAACTACAATGTGGATAAAGACCATAAACTATTCCCATACAATGAAATTTTCCTAGCTTTAACAACAATGTGCTGCTTGGATATGTTGTGCTTCACAGCTGGAATAGCCCACTGAATTGTGAACTACTAGGAAATCCAGCTGTAGTCTGTCAATACTGGCCCTTGGCAGAAGAAAGCTGTCAGGACTTTACCGAACTTTTCAGCCTGAGTTTACAGGATTGTAGTTTCTCTAGGTTTTGCAGTCTTGTAAGATATATATTTCTGAAGTTACTGGGTTTTTTTATCTTCTCTCTTGAATGTAGAAGCATCAGCCTTATTGTGTATAAGTGTCATGTCCTGAAGTTCATTAAGATTTTCCTCAGCTGTCCTCTCTCTCTAATGATTCTGGTATCCATTCCTTTCTCTTTGTTCCCCAAAGTTTCTCCATTGCAACAAACCACTATATCCAATAAATGCTATACTGTGAAGGATTAACAGTTTCTTCTGACATTTGTGATACTGATGAAAGAGAAAAGAGAGGCATTTTGCTGGACAGGTTTTGTACTATTGATTTTAAATAACAAGGCTGAAAACAGGATATAAATGAAATGGTTTAGTAGAAGCCTTCTTTTCTTTACCTGTACAACCTAGATATAAATGAAATGAAAACATGTAAATCTCACTACTTGACCCTCATTTGCCTCATTTCAAAAAAGCAACAGATCATTGAATTATGGTCATTAGACATTTAGAGTGAATGAGAGGTGAACCAGCCATGAGTTTCAAAACTTCTCTCTTAAGTGACTCTCCCACCAGGACTGGACCTAATGATGTTAATACTTATGCCCATAGTAGCCTAAGAAAAAGAAGTTACTGTAATTCCCTGCCCATGATAACTGTAGCTAGATTCAGAATTGAGAGATCTGATCCTCCATTGAAGGAACAGCTACCCTTTGTAAGAGGGAAATATTTTATTAGCCTTCAGAAAAAGGCTTTGAGCAGAAAATCTCTTTGATGTCTGCTCAGTCTCTGTTGCCTTGTTGATTTATTGTTAGATGCCATATTTTTTTCATTTACAGATATAACAAAGCAAAACTAGAATAAACTAGCTGAACTCTGTTTAATCAGTTCAGCTCATGAGTGTGTATACAAATTCATGCTGGTGTGTATGTTTCCTCCACTAGACAGATTATATTCCTTGTGACCTTGAAAAGTGGAATGAAATCATTAATAGTCTTCCCTCAGGAACTGCATCTGTTCTGGGAATCTCTGTTTCATCTTTATTGTCGTAGTAAAAGTTATTTTTGTGACTGAATTCTGCATGTTCTACTCAGTGGAGAAAGCCTCTAACACTTCTGCCTAAGGCCCCACTGCTTCTTTCTGCATCTCAACACCTTGAGACCAGATTGCTCCCAATCTGGGTTCCAAGAGTCCCACAGGACTATCCTCCCCCCTTATAAAGGGGCTATAAACTAGCCCCTTTGCTCTCATGATTTGTAGTCTTTCGGTCTTTGCTCCAAGACTGTTACGACACCTGGATTCAAAAAGGCCAGAAGTTGATCCGAGAGAGTTAAAAAACGCTACACCTATCAAGCAGTGCTAGCGATGCCTCAGACTTAAGGAATTTCTTTGAACAAAAGCATCTATGTCCACTTTGCCAATCCTGAATAAACATTTTTGCCTCTAATCATATCTTAATCCCGGTTTTGCAAAAGCTCCCAGCAGTTACAGGATCCTTTTGGCCTCTTTTAAAAAGTGGGGGATGTATGGGGGAGCTTCAGCAAATCCTTCATGCTCTTGAAAATTCTGGCTTTAGGGCTTCTCTAGGCTTATCAGGTCTGCTGTTGTTCATACAGTACTGTCTTCTCAGCCTGTGATTTTCCAAGGCAGTAGTTAGAGCTACAATACCATACAAGAGAGCTAAAGTGCAAAAGGCCAGATTCTGAAATGAATGAAAAGAGCCTGAACCAGTGGCTTTTAGATACACTTAGCTGGTAAGAGACCCTAGAGGTGAAAAGTATTGGTACTTTAGAAGAGGTTTGAAGAAGAAAAGGCAAGAGGCAGGGTCTGCAAAGAGGGGCACCAGAGAAAGATGGGTTAAATTGGATCTACCAAAGCATTTAAGAGAACTAAGTAAGCTTTAGGTGAGGCATTTTTTTTGACTGCTCTGAATACTGGACTCATGTGACCAAATAAAAAGATTGTTATTTGAAGAAGTAACCTGTGTTACTGCCTTTTCTTAATGACCGGTATTTCTGTGATGACCTCTGTGAAGACTGGAGCCACTTGATGCAGCTTGTGAGTCTAGCAGTCCACTATAGAAGGGTGCAAGTTCGGGAGTCAGAAAGGAAATTACATGGCCCAAGGATTTTATGCAAATATGGCAGTGTTTGGAAGGCACTTTCATGCAAGACTAGAGAGGGGTGTCAGGTGCAAATCCTCAGCTATGGTAATGAATCATGTAATTCCTACAAGACTGCAATTTCTCCAGATTTTAGGGACAGTTGTGAAATCATTTAGTTCTGATCAGCCAACTACCATAACAGATACCACAGACTTAGACATGACTTTAACTCCCATAAAGCTAAGCGTTTATCTTTTTAGTTCTTTAATGAGAGGGCTGTTCTGTGCTCCATATGCTGATATAGTGTTGATCGGGCAATCTACATATTTCATTTCTATCTATTTTTGAAGAGTTATGTTGCTAACACTTTTTTATATAAAGTCTATATTAAGTCTTACTGACTAATGAAATCCATGTGTGTTTTAAACATATGAAATATTTAGACAAAAATATATCTAAATTATAAATATATTATTGATATAAAATAATGGTATTTGTTTCCTCAGCGCACATGTATGTTTCTGTAATACTATATTCTAATATTAGAACACATTTTATATGCTTCTTTCCAGTTCTTCCATCACATTCACATTTTATGTTTCTCTTTTTTTCTCATAGTTCACCATATGTTTTTCTACATATATAAGTATATTCACCTCATTTCCCTGTCACTCTCCTCTGCCATAATTAACTGAACTTCTTATGTCTCTCTCCTCATAATTTCCTTTCTTCTGTCCTTTATTTTACACAAAAATAACATGGAATATAGATTACATGAGAAAGATTAGGACTAAAGAGAAGTTCAACTAAAGGTGCTTTATAATGGTGTGGGCACCTGATTCTCTGCGGGCACTTTCAGTTCTGTTTCGAGGTGCATACAGAAATAATTAATTTCTAGGTTACAGAGTTGAGTTAACCCTTCAATTTCCAACTTGGCTGAATGATATCAAATGTCCACTCCAAAGTCACTTGTGGACCCAGATCTGCCTAGAAAACCTGGGATAATCTTTCCGGAATGATCTATCAATAAAGACAATAGAGCTACTTGGATGAACTGCTCAGGTTAAGGGTTTTTCTTCTAGCAGAATAACTCCAAAACAAGGTATCTTGTACAATTTTGCAATCATCTAGGGAAGTTTTTCTTTCTTTCTTTTTTCTTCTCCGAGCAGAAATAATTTTGGGCCCTTGCACTTGATTCAGTCCAGCACAGATGTTTCGGAGTGTTGAGTGCACAGACAGCTTCTCCCCACCATCTCCTAGGGGATTTGGCTGTCTGTGCTCAAGGTCAGCTCTGCTGCGATGCAGCTGCATAACCATGGATCAGTTTGCTGTGGAAAGAGTGGTGTGAGCAAGAGCTCTGCCCCTGCAGAGGGTCTCCCCACCTTGGCTTGGGAGCTGCACTTAGACCCTTGTCCTTGGCTTTTGCTTGAACTTTGTTTGCCTGTGTCTGACCACTTTGCTGATCTAACCCTGGTCTGGTAACTCGGTTTCCTGGCTTGACTTTGAAGCTGTCTTGTCACTTCAAATTTGTTTGGCAGTCACTGGACTGTTGGCTGACCCTGGTGTTCGCCACCAGATCTGCTCAGCCCTCCTGGCCTGAGTACTATGGGATTGTGCCCCTCATCCATGAGGCCGCTACCCCTCATCCCTGCCTCAACAGCACCCGGCCTCCTTGACAAGGTAGTCTTTTCTTGTCCTCTGACAGAAAGTCAGAGCAAACATCATTACCTTTATTCATGAGAGACTCTAAGGAGTAGCATTAGAAAGTGCAAAGCTATCTTCACATTTTCTTCACTTCAAACCTGCTATCTGCAGAAAATTGGATGTAGATCAATTCAGCATCTGTGGTGCTTCTTCCTCGCAGACACAGCCAAACAACCTTTATTATTAACCACTGCAGTAACGAAGGAGAGCATGGAAAGTGGAGCTTACACTTCAGCTATTCTTGCAGTTGTTAAAAACGGAACATGTTTTGCACTGAGGCCTCAGATAGAACTTCAGTTAGTGTTTGTACCATCAAGACTGTACATAATCCTCATTCCTTCTGCTAGCCAACAGCCATTTTCTTTACCCTCTGCATCTTGGCCTTCACTGCTGATCTAGCTAGCATGGATTTTAATCTAAGGTTCTTTTTCTCTCTCATGCTTGACCCAATTTCTCTGTCTCTCTCCTCATTGTCTAGGGCTCAGACATGCAAGGCCCAACCTATCACTGGCCTTAGTATGTCGTCTAGATTCAAAGAATAATGAGTTCAGGAGGGATCTCAGTATCAATTTTTAAGACCCACTTTAAAGTGATACAATATCAGAGAGAAGAGGTTATCCCTAGATAAACCTAATTTCCCTCCCATCTCCCATCTCACACACTGAGTAAACCAGTCAAGATCTAGAAACATTCTAAAGACTGCTTAAAATAGAAACCAGGAGCTCTGGTTTCATTCTCCAGGAGCTTAATCTGAGAATTAAATTCGGAAAAGGCAATAATATTGGCTCAGATTGTAAGATATTATTCTTACGATGAATTATGTAATAATACATTCCCTGGAAAACAGTTAAAAATGGTTAGTTTGAATGCCATTTATATGATCCAAGTAATTCTGGAGATAATTATACACATTAGTAATTGCTTTCATGTTAACTGAATATGTATAATTGTAAACCATTTAGTCATCCCATTCATTTTTAATGCCATCAAATGAACACTGGAAAAATTCCCAGATGTCCTGAGGAAAGAATATCAAATTGCTAAATGCATCATCCATTGTTGTTTTTCTTTGCATTAAGTTCTACATA